GGTCCCGCCGCGTCGCTGCCTTGAGAATCGGCTCCCCGCCTAGTGTCCCTATCCATACCCGTTGAAGCGCATACCCCTATCGTTGGTACTGCCGGGGGTGAATTCCTCATAGAGTACATAGAGTCGTAATGTAATTGGGAGAGCTGGCGCCATGTTCTGCTCGACGAGTTCCGAGCCCGGTGTGCGCCGAGTTTGGGTCGCTTTTTCGATACATTTTCGATCCAAAATGGCGGTGTGGAATACGTGGTAATTCCTATCTCCTTTGTTGTTGTTGTTGTTGTTGTCATCGGATGGCCGGGTACCCGTGTATCGCAAACAATCGATTATGTATCGAAAAAGTGACCCGGCGACACACAGGAGTCTCGGAATTCGGGACATGGAAAATGCTTAAAAGTGGCGCCAGCTCTCCCAATTACATTACGACTCTATGTACTCTATGGAATTCCTTCACGTAGTTAACGCGCTTCGCGCCCCCTCTGGTATCCTGATGAAGAACTCCGTTTCGCCCTGGCTGAGAATTAATCCTGTAACCTTCGACATTGTCCCGGGAAGAGTGAAATTCCGACACCGTAGTCCACTCGGCCATCCTACCCTCGCGAGCGATGAGGAGTTATTTTCCTATGTTAAACCTATTCGCATCTATCTCTTTGGCTACACAGATGCCCACCTGCTACCGTTCAATAGCACTTGGGTTTATTTAGCAAATACTATCTCAATGGGCCTGTTGCAACTTTTGCTAGAGCAAAAATAAGAGTTGTTTCTTGTAGATAATGCTTCAAAAATCACGATGAGCGCATCGGCAAAGTCTGAAATGCACTCATAACTTCACAATCTGCGTAAGAAATTTGCGTTTTTTTAAGCTTCCCGCTTCAAAAACAATACTACGGCACAGGTGAACATTTTGTCAGAGGAGTCGCTCCATCGTCGGCGATATTCATCATGGCCGACGCTTGCGCGCAGTTCCGCGCGTAATTCGAGGAGAGTTCAAGGTCAATCAATTCGGGCGTGGAAAATATGAACGTTAACACACCGATTGTTATCTGGTCTAATCCAGTTCAGGTGTTATCTCGTCCCATCAAACGTGTTTTGGCGGATTGGCGTCGGCCATGATGATTATTGCCGACGATGGAACGACTCCTCTTACAAAATGTTCACCTGTGCCGTAGTATCGTTTTTGAAGCGGGAAGCTCAAAAAACCGCAAATTTCTTACGCAGACTGTGAAGTTATGAGTGCATTTCAGACTTTGCTGATGCGCTCATCGTGATTTTCGAGGCATTATCTATAAGAAACAACTCTTATTTTTGCTCTAGCAAAAGTTTGCAACAGGCCCATTATCATTTAAATATATTAAATATCCACATATTTCCCTTTTCTTTCTGTTTATCAGCCGGTTCTCAGATATTATTTAAAGACCGTGGGCCATCGCCGCCATAACTTAACCAACGTATTCCCCTTTCTTTTTCATTCGGAGATAGTATGATCATGGAGTAAATTATTTTTTTATTTAAGTCTGGTTAAAGGACAGATTTTCATACGTGCCTCTCAAAGGTAAATTATCACTCATTCGATTATCCAATCTGACGCCCATATCATTAAGGTTAATGCGTAAATCAAAGAGGCTCATGTGAGAACCGCTTCTGCTCATACTGAAAGTAAATATGATTTAAAATTCCAATAAAGTATAGACAAAATAATCTAAGATTATTTAATGCTGGCTATAAAATTGGCACATGAAAGATAAATGATCTTTATGGAGTTTTCAAAATGTACTCGGAATAGCGGTAAAGATGTGGTGATAAAGGCATGTATAGGTAATACTTTAATGAGTACATATCGGGCCGAGTCAAGCTTTCTGGGATTTGAAGACACTTAAAAATGTTCGAAGCTACCACCAGATTCAAAGAGTGTACTTGCAGTAAAATGTTGAAAAGCTTCACATTATTTATTTTTACCTACATTAACGGACGCACGCTTTTGTTTTGAAAATTTAAAGAAATTTGCGTCGAATCAGAAAATTCACCGAAAAATATTAAAGGAACTTTGGCAATCCGTGCATTTCTAGAAAGCATTCTGACATTTTGGACTGAAAACAATATTTTTGATAAGGCACAAAAATTGCGTTTTTTCAAAACCTCCACCTTTCCGACGCGTAAATCCCTTACGAACAAGAGATAAATTGATTATATTTAAACATACTGAATTTGTTTGGAGTAGAGTGGATCTTACGAATAATGCCATCCAAGCGCTTCGGTCGGATTTCTGTAAAGGACCGTTCAAATAATATGCAACGCTCTAACGGAGAGAAATGGTCAAGGAGAGAGTTACGCCGTTTTGTTTTTACGTGTGAAAGAATAGGGACCTACGTCGCAAAAGTGTTACGAGGGAAGAAGTGAGTGGGGTTCCAAAAATTGGAAATTTAGCGTTACGTTTTTTATGAGCGTGATGTCACTCATGGGCGTAAGGGTGGGCGTAAGGGTGCATCGAAATTTTCACGTAGGTAAGCCGTAGAAAGCATGGTGGTATACGGACGGAAGGGCTCATCATCTCAAAGTGTAGATGCGCCCTTCCGCCAAAGGAGCGACGGTATATTTGGAAGGCCCGTCTTGAGCAACTCGCCAAATACATGGTGGTGTACGGCACGTTGCATCCACCTCCTCAGTAGGCGTTTGGTAATTTTTTTGTTTCCTAATTTTAAGGAAATGGGTTTCTTCGATCAACATCACATAGATCCTTAAATTGAGGAAACAGGAAATGCTATGCCCGTTTCCTAATTTTAAGGAAACTGATCTCTTCAAACGACACTCCATGGATTCTTCAATTCAGGAAACGGCTTTGCTACTCTCCGTTTCCTAATTCTAAGGAAACAGGGTTCTTCGATCAACACCACATGGATCCTTAAATTTAGGACACAGAAGCGATTCCCTCGTTTCCTAATTTTAAGGAAACAGTTTTCCCGTTTCAAGTATCCGTTAGTCTGTTTCAAGAAAACGTATACGTGGTTCAAGAAAGCATGGTTTTCTTAACTCAACACAATTTTGTTACCTTGGATCGAGATAACTGTTGGCTTGTTCCAAGCTAACACCGTGTTGAAATTAGGAAACTTTTTAAGGATACATGTTTCCTCAAATTTAGGACAAGTTTTTTTTCAGTGTAGGGATTTTCTCATTTTCAGCTTTCCTAACTTAAATTCTGGAAGTTTTGTTTGAGATTGTGCTCTATTGTTTTGAACCAAACGATACATCGAACCAGTACCAGATACGCCCCATAAAAGGAGAAGAAGAAGAAGGAGAAAAATAAGGTAAAGAGGAAAATTCATATTAAGTAAGAGCTCAAGAGAAAAGCGCACTACACTGGAAAAAAAACACATTGGATCTGGAGTCCAGACTCTTAAAAACATCGACAAGAAAGGATACTCTTGATTCAATCAGATTTAAGCTTAAATCAAGAACCAAGCCTCTTAATTTGAGCGGATTTCCTTTTGATTTAAGCTTAAATCTGATTGAATCAAGAGTATTTTTTCTTGTCAATGTTTTCAAGAGTCTGGACTCTAGATCCAATGTGTTTTTTTTCCAGTGTTGGCCATGATATAAACGGTTTTTTTTCCAACGCCTTAATGAACCAGGAAGACACAGGAAAGCTTGGAGACTTAAACGCAGAGGTAGGAAAGTATACCATTTAATTTCGTGTCGTGACAACTTCCTAATTGCCAATGATTGAAAAATGTATTCTTCTTCAACAACTTAGTGGCACATACCTATAATGCTAGATCCAATGTGGTTTTTTTCCAATGAATATTTTAATTTCAATTATGCTTTTTCCTCAATACGTAAGCATCCGCAAAATCAACAGCTATGGAAAATGCTTCCCACTCGCAGGAGCGCATGCGTACTTGCGTAGTACTCGCCCGAGGAAATCTCGGGCTGAGCGCAATCAGCGAGGGTTTCCATTTGTGCAGCGGTATATTTATGGACGCAAAACTGAGCTTTATCAGGAGCAGCCGCAATGCCTGCATAATTCATAGAGGCGAGCTAGCTTCGATGTTCCCTGCACCTCCAGGGACATGCAACTACCCAAGCTTATATATAGTAAATAAGTTACTGCTGAATAAATTCTAATGAGACGGGATTCTAGAGATAGCTGGCATTCCCATTTTATTATTGAGAGCCCCTCGTATCGAATGAATCGCGGTCGATCCACCGCATGGGCCAAGGCTCTGATCAACTCTGATAATCTCAACAGTGAGCATTCTCATGAGGTTATACAACGTAAGTTAAGAATGAAAATGTTTTGATTTTTATGCCGTAGCCCGACCTGGCAATTAACATATTTTTTAACTACATGTCTATGATATACGCTTCGCCACTAGAACTTAATTTTACGATTGAAGGAAACAAAAAATGGGGTAAGAAATTGTAGATTTTGTTTAAATAAAAACATGTTTTTATAGAAAAGGCACAAAGAGTTTATTTACATATATTTACATAATAAAATACTATTACATATTAAAATACTATCACCTGTCTTATTTCTGTACATAACAATAACAATTTTAATTAATTTTTAATTTTTTTTAATTAATTTTACAATTAATTTAATTTGGAGAATTGCTTTTAAGGCGAGGCAAGGTGGCTGAGACGCAACTTGAGAGAACATAATAGCTGAAATATCGTTTGCAAAATCAAAAACCGCGCATCTAAATTTTGCGATATTGCAACCAATTCATCGTACTTTTTTTCAATTGGACGTATTTCTGCCGAACGGAACTAGGTGCCTTAAGTTATCGTCACCTTCCAGGCAAAGTATCACAAGCGCCATGCGACGTTTAAAAATTTCCGCCGCCATTTTATTTCTTTACTGAGAAATTGTTGGTTGAATCTGTTTGGAAATTTCACTAAATTTTATCGGCAGCACAAAGAAAATTCAGTGACATTTTCGGACAGCTTCGTTGAACAATTTCTCTGTAAAAAATAAAATGGCGGCGGAAATTTTTAAACGTCGCATGGCGCTTGTGATACTTTGCCTGGAAGGTGACGATATAAGCCTTGAAACCCATGAGAATACATGCATAACAGGGCTCACGTCATAATGCACATAGTTCTGTTTGACAGAAATACGTCCGATTGACGGACTAAAACCCCATAAATTCGTATGATTCGTCGATTTAATCAACAAATAAAGTTAGCTGGTTTTACTTTACAGCAAAAAGTTAAGGAAAAAATAGGAGTGGTAGGTAATTTAGCAACTTTACAATTCTTGAGGTGAATAGATGCCGATTTTCAAAAACTAGCTCTTACCCCTAATTGCCATTAGACGTAGTTTAACAGAGGGGAACTAAGTTACATTTTCAAGAAAAATAAAAGGTATCTCAAGCTCAAGTAACTGGTCACATTCCCCTGCCTTCACATTATAGCTTTGGAATAATTTTTCTTGCCCAAATATGGACACAAAATTCATTTTTACTGCTCTAATATAAAAAGATGACTCCTAAAGTTGCTCCAATTTGTAAGAAAAGCTTTTTCGTTTTGTCTTTTCATACCAAATTATTGGCAATACTTTGGAGGATCGGGTAGCTTGTGTCGTATCTATTTCGACACATTCCCTTGAAATCATCAAAAACCAGGCCGTGAACAATCATGCCACTTAAACCCTTCTCCTTGACGTACTTTGCCTTGGTGGCGGCGGATTCCGGGTCATCGAAACTTACCCACAGCCCCTCGGATAAATTAGTCGGTAACCTGAAAAGAATAAAATATTTTATTGGTAAAACTTTAATGGTAAAAAATAACAGAGTAAAATCGTGCAGATGCAAAAAAATAAGAGCCTACACACGTGAACAATATTTTTAAAAAAACCACACTCCTCCAAGTACTTTTTGATTAGATAGAAGGATTTTTCTGTTATGCCTCTTTTTCCTTTTACTCTAAAGTTATTGCTATTATTTATAGAGGTCGGTATTTTTTACACAGGTACATTTACCACTTTTTTTTTTTTTTTTTTTTTTTTTTTTTTAAAGAACATAAATGTCACTGGCACTTAGCAATCGCTTTCAATTTGTACGAGGCATGTAGGTTATGCCAGCAAATCGTTATAATCAGAATCGAGATCTCGGCCAAGCCTCAATCTCCAACAATTCAACAAGCGCCTTCAATTTTTACGACACCATACACATTACCCCACAGTCAGTTTGGTTGCCTATCCGATCGAAACCTAACTAAACGCACTTATTTCCTACACGGGCGCGCAACTCAGGACCTCTCCGATAAAAGGACGTAAGAGGCTTACAATATTGCTAAGATTGTGCAGTTTTTCAGAGTATTTGTAGAAAGTATTTGTGGAAAATTAAATTCATTCACGGGCGATTTACTTCCATGCAATAGTGAGAAAAAATTCGGAGCAGATTCAGGGAAAAATTCACGGCAGAACTATCGGATAGGTTACTTGCAATGGGAGAACCACGTTGCACAATCTTAGCAGCATTGAAAGCCTCACGTGCCTTTTAACCGAAGAATTACTGCACCTACAATTAACAAGCATCCAAGGAATATAAAAGCGTCGATTTTAATTCAACAAAATCCATAGAGATTACAGATTTTCAAGGCACATGCAACCTTCGTGAAAATAATTGTCCTCCGAGAACAGTGGCGATTCTAATAAGTTGGCACAACTGTTAATACTCGACTATTTAAATCCATTGAATATATTGATTCTCTGTGAGACAGGCTGCTTCACCTAAAACCGATTGTTTAACATTCATTTAAATGGAGAAAAAACAGTGTTGCCACCTTTCGAGAGTCGCCACTGTCCGAAGACGAAAATTAAAAGGATGCTTTCATCCTCGGAGAGCAATTTTTGTCATCGTAAGCAGTGTTGGAAACTCGCAGGCGCCAACGCGCTAAATGCGCCTAAGAAATCGGTCATGGCGCCTAAAAAATGAAGTCTCTGCGCCATTTTGGCCCCTAAAAATTATTCCCCCCCCCCCCCCAAATCCTAGTTTTTCTGTTTGGTGATTTTCCGAAATTTCCCCCGAGTAACAGCTACTAGTTCTGTTACTAAAACATCTTGCGTCTAACTTGTCACTAAATGCGCCGTGATACATGGGCAAAAAGTCAATTTGGCCCCTAAAAAATCTTCAGTGATCCCTAAAAATCGAGCTTAATGCGCCACATGGCTCCTGAAACTCCAAGGTAAGTTTCTAACACTGATCCGGAAGACAATATTTACAGGAAACACATTTTCAGTAGATCTTAAGTGTTCAAATTTACCTGTAAGCGTAAGTGCCCGAGTATTTTTGTGATTCGTTGACTTTGTTCAGAACGAGAATCGACTGCGTGAATCCGTCCTCTACCAACTGCACGCAGACCTCGTAGAAAGAAAATATTCCGTCTTTCTTGCTGTAAGCGCCTCTCGGTCCCGTGCCATCGGCGATTACTGGTGGCGAAGTGTTGAAAAGGCTCTTGGAAGATATCCTCCACGTTCGGGCATATGTTGCCACGCCGACTATGATTTTGCCCTCTGAAAATTGGATGACGTTTTTTAAAGGGTTGTATCACAAAGACAATTAGATTATTCAGACTACTGAGCTGGAATTGAAGGTGAATTCGTTTATCAGAGCCCCGCTGTGAAAAAAACCTACACGGAGAGAAAAACTTCGTGCGTGGGACCCGAAGTTTAGGTCATATGGATCTCTGAAGTTTCCGAATTGAGCATCTGAACACTTTAGGTCAAGCTGCTGAAGTTTGGATCACACATCTGAAACTTCAGTTCTTACATCTGAAGTACTTCGGTTTTCACATACAAAAAACTTCGGTTCTCACATTCGAAAAACTTCGGTTCTCACATCTGAAGTACTTCAGATGTGAGAACTGAAGTTTCAGATGTGTGATCCGGACCTCTACAGCTAGACCTAAAGTGTTTAGATGCTCAATCCGAAAACTTCAGAGATCCATATGACCTAAACTTTGGGTCCCACGCACGAGGTTATTCTTCTCCGTGTATGATTTACTTGAAATAGTTAACTTCTTTAAAATTGTGAATGAGTACTTTACATGATGTAAACTACATTTTTGGCTCATTTAAAAATCTGTAATTATAAAGGCGCTCACGCTAAAATAACCAAAAAAACTTAATCTGATTCGTAAGCTATTAAAAAATGCAATAATAATATGCATATAGACGGCGTGAATCTTCAACCAAGTATCTCTTTTGCGGCACACTGTGGATCGAGTTATCAAGAGAGGTCGGACATGAAATTTTTAACTAAAACTGAACATTTCGATGTTGAATTCGTCACATTTTAAATTTTGAGGGGTGCGTCGAGAAGATAATTTCACGAGGAAACCAGCGGAGCCACTTTTAAAACCTCAAAGTTTTGTATGAGCGAAGTTATGGGCTTTAAAAGTTTCCAGATTTTGTTTGACCTCCCCCATTGACTTGATCCATTGTGCGGCGTTTGAAAATCTTCGCTCCTATTTAATTTTTTAAAGGCAAACAAAGCGACATCATTCCTTGAAGTTTTCGCAAAATTTTATACGCACACAGAAGAAAAATCACGGTAGTTTTTGAGTTGAGTTGTTTTACGTAAAAAAATAAAGTATGACCGGAAGTCTCCGACGCCACAAGCCGAGGTCAGTACGTCGTTTCGGATTCATACCTTCGATATGGATTATTTTAAAAACATTACATTTATTTTGAGGTATTTTATTTGAGCTTATGTTGCACTTGCTGTTTTTTTCGCTTACTTTGAGCGTCATGCCACAACCAATCATTGACTAAACTATCAAGTTTGTAGATAGGTGCCGTGTGCTCCGCCACTCCAAGATCGTTCCATGGAAGGATAAAGTCAAATGCAAGAAGGTGAATTTGATCCGCGTAGTAATTAATCACTCGCTTGTCGTAAAATACTGTAACATGAGAAAAGAATAATATGTTTCAATTAAATGCAAAAAAATCATCAAAACAGATCAAAGTATAGGTATCTTGATAATTTCGTCATTGACCTTACTTTGTTTGATAATTTGACAAAAAATCAGAATATATCCATCGATAAAGATAGTTTTGGGGAAATGTGTAAGAATCAAAATACTGTATGTAATGAATTGTGCGGTTTTTTTTTGTTTTTTTTTCAATATTTATCATCGGTAGATCCGTTTTCCTAGGTAAGTTAATTAGTTAACTAAAATTAACTCATTTTATTAAAGATATTCAGCATCTTAGGCTATTAATGTCTTAACAGGAATATGATGGGTGAGTGCTAATACAAAAATTTAGATTCTTAATTTAATGGAAGCAAAACATTTAAATTTTGAAAAAAATATATCTATGTAATAAAAATGCCACAATCTGAGGTGCTAATGATTCTGTGTCAATTTGCATGACTATTCCTACACGTCAAGTTCCTCTGACGTTTAATGACGTCAATAATGATAAAACATCAATGTTGAAATGACGTCAAGTCGTCCAACAAATTCCAACTGTGCGAGGGAAACACCGAATATGCAATATTCCAAATAAAACGATTAAGAGACATATCAAAACGCCAACCGCACACTTAAGAGAACGGTTGTAGGTGCACTACAGGCTAAAGTGTACCCAGTATGCATTTAGAGCTGAGCCGTGTCACAGCTAATGTATGGCGGGGAATATACATATGTATACTTCCAATAATCTTGAGCTATAAATAGTGATATCTTTGTGTTGTGGTCAGGCTTCAGAAATTATCAACCTTTAACTTACTCTCATCCATCTGGGGTAGGATAGATACGGCCATTGTGTAGTTAAATAGTACTGATTTCATTTCTTGAACCAAATCCGAAAAACTATTCCGCAACTCAATATGACGATTCGTTTGTTTGCTCGAATCAGGCTGTGTCTTGTCTCCCAATAATTTACCTGTAGACAAAAACGTTATTATTTTTAATACTGTAATGCGTTTACTTGGAAATTCTTTGAGTAACGAGCACATCTTGGGATATATTACAAAAAACCATTCATGAATATTCACGATTATCGGAGTAACATGATAATCATCACAGATCTACAGTCATTTTGCATCGAATCGTGAGGAAATAGGAGCATCGTTAAAGTTCCGCTCTGGATCCCTGTTTCTCCGCAATTTTCATGTATCAAAGGTCCATATTTTACGGGATGCATGATTGTCGGTTATTTTTTAGCTATATCAGGTTTAATACGACTGGCGAAGAATACTGACTTCCCGCATCCTCCGGCAAATTTTCAAAAAAATTATATACCTTTTGAGTAATTTTACTTGATTTTCGTCACACCTGCGTAGCAATATTATTTTTTTTTTATTATTATTATTTTTTACATGAAAAACACACTCCCCTCTCCAAAATTTGCCACCCGTAGGCAACCACCTAGGTTACATGTCCTAAACATCCGTTGCGTTTAAAAATAAAATGGTGTTCCTGTATTTAATAGTCTGTTTTGAAAAGAATTTAAATCGCTATGAATTCAGGGACTATTCAACAGCCAGAGCCCTCAGAAAGGTCCAAAACCTAAAATTGTTCATTTTTACACGGATGAAAAAAAACACGAGTTTGTTGTGTGATATGGATATTTCCAAGTAATTGTGGTAGTACACGTATTAGTTGTGGTGGTACACGAATTAATCGTGGTCGTGCCCCAATAAATTAGGCTACTAACCCAAATGTTGCGGTACTACCCTAACTTGAGTTGCGGTTCTACCACAATTAATTATAAATGTCCGTATCATCCAACAAATTGTGGTCGTACCACAATTTTAGGGGATAACCCTTAACACTTTTTTTCCGTGTAAGAAACTGATGCATTAGGATAAAAAGCCCTTCGACATGATTCCTTCCCACCCTCAGATCTTCCCCCTCTCTTAACTGTAGTATTTGTGCAAAAATTTCTCATCTTAAGACGTTTATCAAATTGATGATTTGTTTTGACAAATGTTAATCCAACTCTAAATTTCGACGCAACGAATGTGCGTTACAAGTGCGGACCCTCACACAATTGGACCCTAGGGTTTCCTGGTTTTTTGTTGGGAGGATGGACGATCAGGGTTTGATCAGCAGCTTCGAACTTTATTTCTACCGAGAATGACGATTAGTAACTTCCTACAAATTATTGCTCTGATTTTCCATGAAAATTGTTTCAATTCACCCGCAATCTTTAAGTCACCATCGTAAATTATGTCCTACCTTTTTTTTCCTCCCCATCCTTGTCTTCCTCATCCCCATAGTACTCATCTTCATCGTCACAGAAGAGAAAACAGAACTCCGAATCGTCATACTCCTCATCCTCATCATCCGAACACTCGTTTGAGGCTACCGCCACAATAAAAAAAAATATGTTTTTAATTCTATCAAAAATACAACTTATTATTTTTGTTGAAATAAGGTTTGAAAAGAATAAGTATTCCGGGAGACTCCTGTCATTTGTTGCACTGAGATTGGTAGTTTGCCTAAAATGTTGCAAAATAATTTAAACGAACAAAAAATTCGACAACGAAAGGGAAATTTTGAAGCACAATAGCAATTTTAAGCTTCGTTCTCTAACGGGTTCGATTCGAATCGACACATTGAATTCTGAAAACGCTGCGTTATGGCCAACACGCCAAAATCGGCCGTCTTAATCAGTGCGTGCGAAAGAAAAACGCCTTATGAACCTTCAGACATTGCCAAATTTTCTTCGATAAAACACAAATTTCCTGGGAAACTCATGAATATTTTTCATTTAATTTTTCAGAAAATTTTTTTTCGTAATTTCAATTAAAGTTCCTGAAAATTTCAAGGAAAATAGTTTTCATGTCTTTCCTTGAACTTAAACATTTTATCGCGAAGGAAGTTTGGCCACCGTCGAATGTTCATACGGTGTTCTTCATTAGCACGGAGGTATTAATGTTTCACTGGAAGAAAAAATTGCCTGGATCTCGAGTCCGCACTCTTAAAAAATTTAAAAGAAAAAATACTCTTGATTCAATCGGATTTTTGATTGATTAAAAAGGAAATCCGCTTAAATCAAGAGCCTCGCTCCTCGATTCAAGGAAAAGTTCGATTGAATCAAGAGTATTTTTTCTTGTTGATGTTATTAAGAGTCTAGACTCTAGATCTAAGCGACTTTGTTTTCCAGTGTTGGGTCAATATTTTTCTCATGGAGAGAGAGTTTTTACGGACCTCGTTTTGCAAAAGGAACTTCAATAATTTCTGGCCCAGTTTAAAGACATCGGATCTATCATCCGTGTCCCTATAGACATATGTGTTTTTACGTATGAGCCTGAAATTGTAGTTCTTAATCGCAAAATGTAGTCCAAATAACTGACTGATGATGCATCCCGTAGAGTATAGACCTGAAAAGTTCAGAAAATTATGCAGTTGCGAGGGATAAAGGAGGGTCGGGTACATGTAAGCAACCTCCTCCCTTTTGTATGTGAGAGAATTATTTCCATTGGTCCGCGAAAAATGAATGAAACACAAGTATCAAGATATTGCTGCACTATCCCGGTTTATTTTATTTTTATTATTTTCTTCTCATTATTTAAAGAGTACTTTGATTTCGCCGGAGAGTATGCAAATCGGAAAAACTCCTTCAAAAAGTGGCGAGAGCCAATGTGTGTATGACAAATTGCCGACATCAAAATTGAAGGCACTTTCATTGACACACGCGTGAAGCAAATATTGTTCGGATCTACTTTTCATTATACGTTCCGTCTTGGACTGCTCTACGCAGGTGATAGGTCGTCAATGAAACTAGGTATCCATTTACACAAGGGAACTGATGACGCATGTATTATTTCTAAAATGAGCCCAAATATGAATCGATTATTGCGTAATGTCGTAATGGAGGACAGAATCCTCGGCAATTATGACACATCACAATCGAAAAAATGATTCGGCAATGTAAAATGTAGTCCAGTTTTCATTCCCGTCTCGTGGCTCCAACGCAAATACGTTTTTTCCGTGATAATTTAAGTTCTGCGTAAATGTCCCTTTTGCCATTTCCGGCCACCAATTTAGGATTTTACCGCTGACGACGGAGGAAGTTTTTATTAAATTTCGTTATTCAAAGAAAAGAAAAGAAAAATGCATAACAAAACTTACACCACATTCCGCAGTCTTTTGGGTGTTCATCATCGGCCTCGAGATAGCGCTCGAACTTCCAGATCAAGTCGATACCATCGAAGTTGTAGCGTTGCAGCACAGGGACCACCGAGTTGATGAAGCGAAGTCTCGTCTCTTCAGATCTCAGCTGTCGAACGATGTTTGTGTAAGTATTTGATACATAAAAAATTTGCTCAAATTACTTTGACGAGTTGAGGATTTTAAAATTTCAACGGATAGGTCGTATCGCCCAGGATTTGAAATGGACCGCGTTAAGGAGAAAGGAGCCAAGCCTCATCAGCTATTACCTTTGATTGGGCATTTCATTTTTTACATGAAAACGGTTGTGTGGATTCTTTTGCAAATTTCAGTGAATTTTTTGCATAGGGCGAAGCAAATTCCTTAAAATTTTCAAGGGAATCCGCACAAACATTCTCTTGTAAAAAATGAACTTTCCCAGTTGAATTTAGCTATAGCCGATGTGGCTTGGTTCCTTTCTGCAAAACGCGGTCCAGATATCCTACTGCATATAAATTAGTTTAAAAATACTTTGTCGAGAATAACGCAAGCCTGCAGAGGACAGTATAGAGAGTTGGAGGGACTTAAAAGAAATGTGGTGAAGTATTTACACAGGCGACGAAATTAGAGAATTTTTCAAAAATTAGTAGCAAAATCAGTGATCTTTTTTTTATCTTTTTTTTCAATTCATCATACCAAGATGCAAAAAATTACTTTATTAATAGCAGATGATCATTCCAGGCATCAATTTTAGATGGGTTGATTATCATCATCTCTATGATACTTTCTTTTGAATAAAATCTTGATACGAAGGGAAGAGCACACAGAACTATCTTTGCTACATTAAAAGCAATGTTTGTTAGTAAAAGAGTGATTTGGTTGAATATATTTTCCGTAGATCTTGCGTATTTCTATTAGAAATATAAGTACTTCTGCATAGAAAAATGAGGGCTTTAAAAGTTGCATGTATAATTATATGAAAAAAAAGCTAATGAATACAAATTTGCCGAAATGGAGACAAATATAATTCTAATTTGACTTGGAGTAGATATACAGAGTACATTAATAACATCGACAAGAAAAAGACTCTTGATTCAATTAGATTTTTTCTTGAATCGAGGAGCCGAGCCTCCCGACCTCGGCGGATTTCCTTTTGATTCAAGCATAAAGTCCGATTGATCCAAGAGTATTTTTTCTTGTCAATGCTTTTAAGAGTCTGTACTCTAACTCCAAGCTGCGTTTTCTTCCAGTGCACTGAAAAAAATAATGTGCTGTTTTGGCATCTAGGATGTCAAAAATGTGTCTGGTGATCCCAGGATGTTGCCTTTGCTGCTCCCGCAGTTGAATTTGCATTCACAGGATGTAAAATTAACTGCGGGGGCAGTAAAGGCAGCATCTTGGGATCATTTTGATCACATTTTTGACATCCTAGATGCTAAAACAGCTTATTATTTTTTTCAGTGTGAATTTGGCAATAGCCGATGTGGCTTGGTTCCTTCCTGCCCAACGCGGTTCATTTCATAGTGTGACCGCCGCGTTCAAATATACAAACAACTTACCACGTTATTGAATTGAACGTAGCTCTCGTGTTGATAATGCTCGGACGGAGGCGCTCCTATGCCGAGAAGCAATTTGAATTTCGGATAGAAGCTCTTGAGGGCGTGGATCATTTGAATGTGTTGGATTTCGACGAGTTGAAGCATTCCCGCGTGGTTCAAACTTATCTTCCCCGTCTGCCGATCCACCATCGCGTAGCCGTATACCAAGTGCGTGCAGAGACTCATGCTCACGTTTAGGTCCATCATATTCAGTTCGAAACCATTCCCTGAAAATGGAAATGATCTCATGACACTATCGAAGACAATGGGAGGACGAGGAGGGGGAGGGGGACCTGACCCCCAGTTGAAAATATCTGCCCACCCCCCCCCCCCTCCGCCTGGAAATAATGGAGATATTGCAAGTGTGAGGAATTTGCGATTTGACTATTGATTCTTTTGTAAAAGTTTACGAGAGACACGATGGTGCCGCTGGTTTTCTCTGAAATCAACTCCCAAGCTCAAAAAAAGCTCTAAAGTTGAGGCCAAAATAGAGGGGTTCCCACGCTATCCTGAGAGTCCACCTCTACATGAAGACAAACTCTCCATGCAAAGATAGGGAGCAAGTACATTAGCAGGGTTGCCGTGTTTTCAGTTTTAGAGTCCCCAAATAAAGTGGCAGCCCTGTCAATGTATTTGCTCCCAATCTTTGTATGGAGAGTTTGTCTTGATGTAGACGTGGACTCTCAGGATAGCGTGGGATAACCCCTCCATTTTGGCCTCAACTTAAGAGCTTTTTTTGAGCTTGGGAGTCGATTTCAGAGAAAACCAGTGGCACCATCGTGTTTCTCGCGAACTTTTACATAAGAATCAACAGTCAAATTGCAAATTCCTCACACATGCAACATCTCCATTCTAGATAGTGGGAAGAGACCTTCGTTGAGCATGTGTATCTCTTTCAATGTAGAGTTTTAAACGAAAACGTCATGATCATTCAGTAAGTCTATTCTAAATTGGACGCATTTCTGTCAAACGGAACTATGTGCAATATGACGTGTAACGTAAGCCCTGTTATGTATATATTCTTATGGGTCTCAGGGCTCATGTTTTAATGCACACAGTTCCGTTTGATAGAAATACGTCCAATTTGTGTCGTGGATGCTAAATACGTCCAAAGAGAGTTAGAATTTCAAAAATTTTCCAGACCAGTTGGATGCGAAAATTCCAAAGTATTTGGTGCCAACAGTATGAAAACAGCGTAATATTTCCGCAGAACTTCATGGAAAATCTGCGTTACGAAAGCTCCTAAATTCGTCCGAATAAAAGTAGAATTTTCAAAAATTTCCGAGCCTGTTGTATCATACAATTTGAAAGTTGTCTGCGCTATAGGAAGGAAACAGCGTAATTTTTTTCAGAGACATCCATGGAAAATCTGCACCACGAAAGTTTCTATAAATTCGTTCGAATAGAAGTGAAATTTCACAAATTTTCTCGGTGGAGGTCCCCTGTACCCCCCTCTAAAACCTAGACCCCCGGCTGTTCGGGGGCTTAGCCCTCCCCACAAAATGACCTAGGTACGCCTATGTCGAAGACAATTTGTCGCTCTTTTCATATTATTGAGCATTCGTAAATTACGCAAACGCACTATTTCGGCTATTTCTGACCCCCTTCTCCCATAATGCGCTTTGTGACGCAACCCTAGATCCCCCTAATAATTACACAACACTTGACGACCCCATCCCCCTTTTGATCCCAACGATTGTGGGGAAGTGTTGAATATATGGCTGGATAAAATGCGCAGTATGCTTAATAAGAGTGTGACAAATAACGTCGAAAAAATGAGGATGTACATCTGTTACTTAGTGTTTTTTACCATTAGAGAAGGTTACATAATACTGGTGCTGATTCCTTCTCCTCCCATGTAACGCAGCGTTATGCGAACTCGCACATTATACTAAACAATGCTCAGTGCGACAATTTCATTGTCACTGAAGTTATAAATCTACACCCTCAAACACATTACAGTTTTCCTATTTATTTTATTCCCATCCACTCCACCTTACATATACTGTTTTCGTTTACCCTTTTTTCCTAACCCCAAACCAAATCAATCCGTCTACAACAGGTGGCTATAGATTCTGAAAAAAATAGAAACCGAAAAAACTTAAAAAAAAAAAAATTAGAGAATTTGCAGGTGTCTTAAATTCGATGAATTTCGTGTTTAAGTGGAAACTACTGAGTGAACTGACCACGAGGATACCCTTGGTTCATGATTTGGACAATTATTGGAGAAGATATGACAGAATGATCTTATCTACTAAAATACATGTGTTTAAATGGGAAATGCCGCCAGATGACGTCACTAGGCGGTGCATTTTCTCACTTTTAAATCGGTTTTTATTATATTTCCCATATCAGAAAAAAATTATAACAAATACTGTGAATCAGCTCTTTCAGCACTTTTAGATGAAGCGAAAAAAAATGGCATGCAAAGTCTCCATTCCCTCAAATATCGAATAGAAGATTACGAGCTTCCAGGACTTTATGTCCACCTACCTTTCGTCCATTAAATAAATGTCCACCGCTATTTATGTCCACTAAACGTTAAGTCCAGTCTTTACTAAGTCCACATGATTTAATGTCCAACCATGAATATGTCCAAAATTGTCCAATTTGTGGACATGTTATGTCCACATTTTTTTCTTCTCATTTAAATGACAGGAACCACCTCAAAAATAAATGCATACTACTACTACCTTCATTCTTAAAAACATTTCATTCATGAATCAAGTCATGAAAGAGAACAGACTCTAAGAGCAGATAAAAACATATGTTCATGTGTACACTGTACGGATATGATAAGATGAAAACCAAAGCGGGAGCCTAGGAAACGCTTCAATGCCAATTTAAACATTTTTCAGTGACAGATGCAGTAAAAATTGAAAGTCCTCTTTAACTAGTTATTTCGTGCGCCTTCAATCTTGTAGGATACTGTGCAACGCCTCTGACGCGAAATAGTTGCTTAAAGCGTTGCGGCGCGGCAGGCAACCAGCGTGACACGCGCATAGGCGCCTACAAACCTAACGGAATACTTAACGCGTTGCGCAATGCGTGAAGTATCCCGTTAGGTTTGTAGGCGCCAGTGTGCGTTCTGCGCTGCTAACACGCCGCTCCTTTCTGTGTTAGGCTCTAATATTTAAACTCTTGGAGTCAGCGTTTTTCAACTCATGATTTTGGAATGTTTGCACTCTCTACATTGATTATTCCCTTTTAAACTGATGAAAAATAAATATGTGCCACTGGAAAATATAATGTGTTTTTTGTTAATATAATAGTGGTTCCGTGTCAAATTTAATGATTTCCAAAGCATTCAAATTTATTCTTTTATGTTTTAGGCTTTTACTGTGCTGCAGCGTGGTGTAAGCGCAACTAAACGCTCAAAATTGAACGTATTTGACTCAAGGAGGTCGATGTACAAATAAGTTAAAAAGGAAAAATTGCGTGCTTCTTAGTTTTTTTCCTCTTTTATTAATTTTTGTATAGTTTCTTTCATCACAACTACGGCTCATCGAGATTCATATCGATGCCATTGCTTGGAAAATGTATTACAAATATTTACCACGTTTTAAAAATGTGAATGTTTTTAAAATGAAGTAATTAATTTCATTAAAAAAAAGAATGTACATTTAAGGCATATTTTATATTGGAAATTTCAAGGATAGAAATGAAACCAAGTATTTACCAAAGACAATTTGAAAAGATGAATCAAAAGAGGAAATTAACATTTCATTTAAAATATGAGTTACGATAACAACACCTCATTCTCTCTTAATTTTCCCATTTCGATATTGTCAATATAATTATACACACGGACTAAAATATGACGCTTAAATTTGATTTTAGTGGACTTTACATTTGTGGACTTAACTTAGTGGACGTTTAAGTAATGGACTTAACAATAGCGCGGGCTTTAGAACTGTGGACGAAAAGTCTGTGGACGTAAAAAAGTGGACATAAAGTCCGTGTACCGATTACAACGTACCTGAGTAAGACTTGGTTCTGTCGTAGTAGCAGACTATCTTTTTACGCTGGTCTTCCTCTCCTATCTCTTTATTCACGATTTCCGTCGTCAACGACGCGAGGTCCGAATCCACTAGATTGTTCTTCAAAATCCCATGGCTTGATAGCTCGTCCATGAAGTCCCTGAATTTCGGCTCGCTTCTGGTGATCCTCTCCTGTAACGGCTGCACGAAAATACCTGATTTTTCCAGTCTGGACAGGAGGTGCTTTGTCCCCGGAGTTTCGCGTTTTTCAACTTTCATAGACTTTTCATTGATGTCTTGGCGGCTTGGCTGTGATGCCCTCGACTCTACGTAGTTCCGCAAAAAAATGGTTATGAAAATCACGAGTTTGATCTGTGTGGTATTCATCGCGCTTTTAGAAAATGTATTTTAATTTAGATCGAAACACGCTCGATTGTCAATTCACAACTGAAGATGAAAGTCTGATCGGCTTTGAATTCTGCCCGACTCGATTTGAATTTTCCTCGTCTAGGGTTTGAATCACGAATTTTTATTTGATGCTAAGTTTTCAAACATTGATTGAAGACACGATTAATTGATTTGCGCTATAGACACTGGTAAAAACTTACAATTCTTTGACTTCTGTGCTCTAATATGAGCAGTGGGACTAAGAGAGAAAACGCACTTACTCAGTTTGTATTTCAAACAGGATTCATTTTACGGCCTTAAAAAATGTAGCCAAAAAGACATGTTCTTACGACGTGTTCCATGCCATCGCGATTGATGACACTAAAAATGACCTTAATTACAGTCTCTAAAAGATTGGTTTTAAATTTATCTATGCCTTCTAAGAATATCCGTTTAATTTCAACGACACGCACGCACAGCAATTAAATAATTAGGTTTATAATTCACAAAAATCAGTAACTAGCCCTCACAAAATATCACACAGTTCAATAGCAAAGAGTTGGGTAACGATAACTTCAAACAGCGTGTAAAATACCCAAAATTGTGATCAGTTGAAGCGAACGACGATAATAATCAGACTTCCGGTGAACTGATTTTTGTGACTGATTCCCGAATCGAACTGAAATTATTCAGCGTCCGACGCGAAAATTATATCAGCCGGTGGTCGTCTGTTTTTAAGTAAAATCAAAATCCGAAATCAGAGCTGAAGCGTGGGTCAGGTTGAGGGCGTTCGCAGAACGGCTCTCTTTTTAATTTGTTGTTTATTTTGAAAATTCGCGAGGCGTCTCTTTACCGCGATCGCATCATCGCTGGGTCCTTGACCGACGGAGGATTCGCATTACGGGTTCGCAGAGATCTCATCTTTTACGATGACATATGATGAGGAAACAATCTCTACGGGCCGCTGTTTAATATACACCTCCGGGAGACGGTTTGGCAGTGATCTACGCTGGATGGAATTCCTGAAATTCTCATTTTACTCACGTCAGTTTTGCTATTCTGTCTGGGAGCGTTGACCCCAGTTCTCGCGGTTCAACTGTAGGAGAATAGAATACCATTAGTTCAAAATGTTCACATTTCATTTCCGCCACTACTTTTTATGCGTCATCTCGCAAATTCTGGAAGTTTTATTTGATTTTTTTTACGTTTATATGTGTTTTTGGTCATATCAACAATACAAGGGAACCTGGTATACCGGAGCGGGTTTTCAGTTGAGTGATTCTTGGGGAGCTGTGTCGAAAAATCCGAATTTTGAATTTTGAAAAGAAAACTCTCTCCAAAATAGGCAAATCCGGACACTTCGAACGAGGCATAAGGGGGTTCCGGGAGCCCCCTCCCCCCATGACATTTTCGAAGTTGTAAAGCATCCAACATACAGTTTGAGTCAATTTCGTCATGAACAATTATCAAATGTAAGCGTTCTTCCTTCTTCTTCTCTTTGTTCCTTCATTATTTCTTTCTTTCTTTCTCCTTTGTTCGGCGAACGGGGAGGGGGGAGGGGGGGCGTACTTCCCCTGCTTTCCTTCCGGATCCGCCTATGCCCTCCAGTGTCCTATACTGCTAAAGAAGAAGATGCAAGCGGCTCAAATGCATCTCTAAGGGCAGATTATTAAAAATTAAAGACAAAGCTATAGACAAAGCTATAGACAAGAAAACAAAGAGAAAATGGAGCGACGATATTGGTTGAAGCGGGTGGATGCAATGGACAAAGGGAGTAGGTAATATAGAGTAAATAACGGCAACCTACGAGGGACCCTACACCCAGTCCATCATTGTTTCACTTATTGTAAGTCTATAAGAACCACCCGTTTCAACCAATAAGATAGCTCCATCTTCTTTTTGTCTTCTTTGCCTATCGCTGTGTCTATCAATTTCAATAACTAGCCTGTTGTGCCGATATCGTGCGTAAAATTTCATCATGATCTGACGTTTAGGTTATAAATTGCAATAGTAATGACTGCCTCTTGCACATCCTTAACAAAACCTATCTGCGTGGGAAAACGAGTGGCATATAGGTTCCTTTCCGAAAATGAGTCAAAAATTTGTTCCTCATGGTAAAATGTAATTCAATTTATTGCCCCAAGCATGGTAGGTTAAAATTGAACGAGAATCGTTTTTTCTCCGATCAATGTATTTTGAACTGCAGATTGTAAACTGACATAACGCAAGATTAATCAGACATTATCGAACGATTCTTTTTCCAAAATGATTGTAGAGCGCTCATCAATAATTCTTGTTTTTAGTTTTCGTGAAGCAACGTCTCTTATCTCATGGACGAGGACATTTTTTCGCTTGATGTTGTTGATTGATTTAAGACTGGTTAAAAAGATAGATCCAAAAGAGTAAAATGCTTACAAACTTACGGACAACTTTTTTAAAAATGTAAAAACTTGCCTTATGGATACAAGCCTTGTAATTTTTGTTCAACTGAGCTTTAGCTTACTAGAGTTCGATGTTAAATTGCATTACTAATTTTATTTTCAAAAAAAGGTGTAAAATTTGAATCCCTTATTATATGTATAGAGCACCCCCTAAAGAGGGGATTTTAATATACGTATAAGCACTGTCATCCCTCCCTACAATGGGAGGTCACTTTCCTTTTTTTTAGGCATCTACGTTGTTTCATTACCATACTTAATCCATCAGATTTTACAAAAACACGCGACAGTGCCCTGGTAAAAATAGGCAGTGGAATCTGTGTTCCAAAATACCATAGACCTACGGCCGACTGTGAGATTTCCAATAGCTTCTATAGCCGGCTACACAATTTCTTATAGCCTTTTATAGCCGATGGCAATTAAGCAACTCACAGCCAGGCGATAAAGTGTATTCTAAACGTCACTAATTACGGATGCTAGGACTTAATGAGTTTTTGGGATACTGCTCTCTTTTTCGGCCGTAGTATCTTGATTTATTTTGCGAGGAAAGCTCCGTACTTTTGATGGATGCCTGCCATTCCTAATATATCAGAGCGCCTTCAGTTTCGTATGATACTGTGCAATACCGCTGGTGTGAATTAGTTGCTTCAAGCGCCGTGGCACGCTGCGGCGCGGCAGGCGGGCAGCCAGCGCGAAACGCGCATTGGCGCCTACAAACCTAACATGCAGGGATACTTCACGCATTGCGCAATGCGTGAAGTATCCCTGTTAGGTTTGTAGGCGCCAGTGCGTCGCCGCTCCGCTTTGTGTTAGGCTCTATAATATTTAATCCAGCGGAGTCAACGTTATTCAACTCATGATTTTGAAATGTTTGCACATCCTGTATGGATTATTCTCGTTTTAATTGATGAAAAAAAATATGTATTAAAGGAAAATATAACGTGTGTTTTGTAAATATTAAGGTGGTTCCGTATCAAACTTAATGATTTCCAAAGCACACGAATCTCTACACAATTTCTTATAGCCTTTTATAATCGATGGCGAAAAAGCAACAGCCAGGCGATAAAGTGTAAAGCCCGGCGATAGGAACTATAACCCGGCGATAGGAACTATAGCCCGGCTGTATAATTTTTTATCGCTTCGTGTAGCCCGGCCGTATGATTTTCTCTGCATTCTACAGCGAGCTATATGATTTTCTGTAGCCTTTTTTAGCCGGCAATAAGAATTCCTATGGTATTTTGAAACGCATCTCTTATCGCCAATTTTTACCAGGGTGATTTGATATACCGTGTTGTTTTAGTGTGACAGTTTTTGCCATTCTTGGGAGCTGTCACGGGAGACATATTAAATAAATGGAAAGCATTTAAATCACAAGATGTTGTATTTATTAGTAGGTAGTATCCAAGTTACAATTATCTTTTCTAAAAATGATGTATGCGGCGGTGTTTTGAATGCTCCGAACACGGCGTGAACATTTCATGCAACTTCAAACTTGCACCGGCGAAATATACGGCTATAATACGTTTAAGTTGGAAAAGTGTCATCGTTGAGACCTCTGAGATGCCTTTGGATTTCAGAATGTTATAGAAATTGAAATTTACAAATAAGTGAAAAAAAAACTCGCCTATGTGTCAAAATTGTAACAAATAAATTAAACAAATCTTAAAAATTAGAACATGCACAGCATAAAAGAACACGCCTGACCTTTTCACTATAAACTTATCTGCCTTCGAAACAGAAGAAGCGTTATCTTGTATGTCTCAGAAGAGTGCAGTGAATGTGATAATCAAGAATTTTCCAGAAGTTGAGGTAAACGATAACAAAATCCATCAAATATTGATCAAATGTATACTACAAAATTACTGATGACAAGGTATTATTATCAACAAAATTGGTAATTCTTTCTGGCTATTTCCTTTCAGAGACAATCAGATCCAAGAGGGGGGGGGGAGGGCTTGAATTTGGTGCCAAGGAAATTTTCTCTCGAATCAAGCTGGTTTCCGCTTGATATAGGCTATACCTCATCCTTGAGATGAGCATCATTTCGTGTTGATTCGAGGGAAATGTATTATTGGGATCAAACTGGAAAGTACACCGAATAAAATGGATTGCTGATTGAATAATTAAATTGTTGAAAAATACGTCCGACATGCTTCAATGTGCAGACGATTAATGTACTGATATGCTATGACCACGGGGGTGGTTAAACTAGCATTTCAAAATTGTAAAATCTACATTGAAACATGTCGGACGCTTTTTGAGCAGCAAAATTGTTAAATCAGCAATTTCATTTTTCCCGAGAATATCTGCTTGCTTAAATCTTTTCACTGAAAAAAAATCTCGGTGTATTTACTAAGAAAAGGGTAAAATTACCAAGCATTCAGGGTTCTGTTTGATCCCAGTTTTTTCTTGGGAAAATACCGAGAAATCTCGGTAAAGTTATTGACTTTCTCGGTAATTTTACTAGACCCCGATAAAAACGCCAATATTTTTATCGACTGTGGTAGAATTACCGAGATAAAATGGCAAAGTTACCGGGAATTGATTACCAATAAAAGTGGTATTCTTACCTGCAAAAAAACAGTAAAAATACCGGTTTTTAGGTAAGCTTACCAGTCTGTCTTAGTAAAATTACCAATAATTGGTAAAAAAGTGAGATGGTAAAGGTACCAACGGACCTTGGTAAAAACGCCGAGAATTTTTTTCAGTGCGAGAATTTCTGCTTGCTTAAATCTCTTGACTGTCCACGAGTGGAATCTAAGCGATACCCTGCTTGACGGCCTTCAAGATGGGGAAGGCGGAGCCGGTGCACATGCCCCTGAAGTCGTCCAAGGACAAATCGACAACAGCCACCCCTCCCAGCTTCTTGAGCTTGGCGAAGGCGGCTTTCACGGCCGCGGTCTCGGGCTCCTCGTAGCTGATCCAGACCCCTTTCTCGAGCCCCGGGACCCGGAAGCAGTAGCTGCCGAGGCGCTTCTCGGCGTCGGTGACACGGTGGAGGAGGGTGGTGTGGCTGACGTTGGAGGCGGCGGGGGAGTCGCTTGGGGCGGCCTGGTTGGGGCTGTAGTTGACCAGATGAGGGCACACCTCGTAGTAGGTGACGAGGCCTTTGGTCTTGGTGTAGGTGCCCGCTTCGGCGGCGGACTGGGCTTGGCAGGGGGGGTGCGACAAGCTCTCGATGGCCCTCCCTATGTCCAGTTCTTCGGAAGAGGGGAACACCTCCCAGGCGCGACCGAATGTAGGGATGCTCATGATCAGCTTCTCGCCTGGAATTGAGGAAGGGGTCAGAGGTTGGAGAGCTCTACGTTCAATATTAACCGAGATATCACGCTTTGAAAAGTTCTGTTCATGACGCCATCCACCGCGGTAGTTTCTTCTGCCTTGCTTCCTTCCGAGTTTTACGTTGAGTAACCAGTGCAAATGTGTGTCACACCGACTGATGAAAGCAAAGGAAGAAACCAAGGGTGTCACTACCGCGACCGATGACGTCAAAAACCCGACTTTTCGAAGGGCGATATTTCGGTCAATATTGAATGTAGAAAATTGCTGTTTGGACAGATCTTATTATGTTTAGCTGATCTAGAAGAATCAAGCATCAAAACACGATTCTGTGACCAGCGCAGCTGACCAATTGTCTATTTTCGAAGTTATACTGTAGAATTTTTCGCGAGACATGTTAAAATTTCCCCTCATATGATGCTATGTTCAGGGTCTCTTCAAAACTCCCTTAGTCACCATGCACACTATTCGAGGTCTCCTGAAGAAACATGCTGTTTCAGAACAACTGTAATTACGGCCCAATTTATTGCTAATTGCATGAAGTCTTGCTTTGTGCCTGGACAAAAAATACTGTAGACTGTTTTCAATCTTTTTTGAGACAAGGTTTTGAAAATGAGTGATTTAGACTATGAAAATTTTGCATTATGGAGTAGAAAGTCATTGTTTCGATTTTGCCAATAGCAAATCTGCTTATTTTGCCGGATCTATTGGTGCAACCAACTCATTTTCCACCATAAATGTATTTGATTTCTATGGCCTTTTAATTAGTAATCTGACGCTCATCTCAAATTATACTATACTTTTTTGTTAGATTCATCAATTCACATGACCTAATCTGCCTCTACTTGGGGAAGTCTATCGATGGCCAAAGTGCGGAACCACATATCTCCATCGCGAGGTTTCCGCTCCTATTATTTTTTCGAAAAGAAACAAGCCAATCTTTCAGCTTGAAATCAGTGCTGCCATTTCCCGGAATTAATTCCAAAATGCGGAACTTTTCAAATAATTGGAACTTTTCCCGGAACCTTCTGAATTCCGGGAATTTTCAGCTATTTTCGGAATTTCCCCGAAATTTGCGGTTTCTGGCCAGTTTGACCATTTGTTTGATCAAATTAAGGGACTTTTTGATCAATTTTGATCAATCTTCGGAAGTAAGTCCGGGCGTCTCTCGGAGTTTTCCCCCGGAATTTCTGGAAAAACCTGAATTTTCTCGGAACTTTGGCAAATTAGAATATGTTTTTGGAAATCGGAATTATTTAGAAATCTTTTGATAAAATAAAATGGCAGCACTGCTTGGAATTTATACAGAATATTCTGCTCATTGAGAAGAAAAATCGATGGAACCTTTAAGAAATTACGATGGCTGGTCTTTAAAGAAATAATAAAGCGTTGCAGGAAGTCTGCAACGTTGCAAATGGAGATACTTGGCTTCGCGTTTTGGCCATCGATAAGAGACGGCTTCATGGAGACGTGGGCGATTGCATTTGCAGCTCTGAACTTCTTTAGATTATTGAAATTAGGTGTAAAAATGCATGACCACGCAACTTCTCGATAAGATATCTCTTTCTTGATATGGAGCGCAGCCTTATCACTGCTTGTCAGAAACAGTATTTACGTAGGAGTACGGTTAGTCTAGCAATGACGGTTGTGGTTAAGGTAATGGATTGGGATGGTACGCGTTTTGCTTGTTGCATTTTCGCCAATTAGCAGGCGTTCTATGAGTTAGCCGTGCTTATGCATCCATTATTGATGAGGTAAGGTATTAATTAATTTGTGAAATTGTAAGGTGGGACACTCGTGTGAAGAAGAACAAAAAGGGTTTCCTAACTCAGATATGATGTATGTTTGATGCTCCGCAACCCGTGGCAGGATATGCAATAATAACAAATTAAAAAGCTGGTAACAAGGCTAATTTTTAAGTAAATAGCTCCGAAACAACATCAGCCTTCTTCAATTGGATAAAAACAGTAAAAAATTATAAAAACCTGAAAACGAAGTACTCGGCTTGGCTATACCTTTCAATTTCAAAGCAATAGAAATGTTGTTATCTTGTTATTGGCTAAATTAGATATCTTTGCAGTTTTTTCTCAGACCTTTCAGTTCGAAATTTACGAGCTTTTTTAATTAAATTTTCCAAAGCCAGTGCTACGAAAAAATATTTGTATCACTCTGCCGTGCTAAGTAATAACGTGATATACGCATTCGAATGTTGCCAAATATATCCTCTCAGAAAATATTAATCTTCGAAGAAAGTTATGAATATTTTTCCTTGATTTTTTCAGAATCTTTAGATCAAATTACGAACAAAATCTTCCGAAAAATTGCAAAAGAAATATTAACCAACTTTCCTGGACATTCGTGATTCGCCGAAGGAAATTTGGTAACACCTGATGGCTCATACGGCGTTCTTCCATAGTACGGCAGCAGTGTTTAATTTTAATATGAAATTCTGTGAAAATTTATGAAATGAAGTATACTTACTTGGAACAAAGAGGAGATTTAATTAAAATATGGGTAAACAAGGCTAAAAAATGATTAAAACACTGCAAGGCAGGACGTTTCGAGCTGTTACCAGCTCATTTTCAGCTGATCATTTTCTGTGGTTACGTGATAACGGCTGGAATCAGGTCGCCACTCAATTTTTTACTTGTTTTTATGTGTTTTTGCAGCTGAAAATGAGCTGGTAACAGCTCGAAACGTCCTGCCTTGCAGTGTTTTAATCATTTTTTAGCCTTGTTTACCCATATTTTAATTAAATCTCCTCTTTATTCATATATTCGGGCTACGTTTCTGTGCTTTATACTTACTTGGAACTCCAGCAGAGAGCCACTGAGCGACCGTTGCTTCAACATTGTCGGAGGAGTGTCTCCGCGAGGCATTTTTGAAATGAAGGGGCGCCGAATAGTCGGCTAACTTTGGGAAGTATTGCGGAGTTCTGTAATCGTAAGTGTGCAGCACGAATTGATCTGTCATTTCCTTCAAGTTTGCGAGGTCAAAGTAAGCTGAAAATTCCAAGAAGGAATGACGCACAAAATAAAATACAGTTTTAATCCCCACACAGGATTCCCATAACTCCATTTTACTTAGAAATGGAGGCAACAAATAAGAGCATTAAAATGGAGCTGAAATGTTTTACGTTAACATGAAAACCCACAAATGGGAGGAGCCTTAGGAACGAACAAGGATGGACTATCATCTCCTTTCCCCCTACTTTTGTGAAGATTTGGTTCCCAATGCATTCTCAATGCTAGCAAAGTAATATTAACTCAGAATGAGGAAATAATATCCACTTGATTTTCAAATTAAAAGCTATTGCTGATTTTTATTTACGTTTTTCCATTATTTATAGCATATACTGCGAGAAGCCTGAGGAGGCACGCTTTAAAATGCTCTAATTGAGCTAAATGTATTTCTGAGTCGTTTTTTAGTCAAATGGAACAGGTTTAGGGGGTGAAGTTGACAAAAATCTAACATCAACCAAGAGTTACCCCACCCTAGAGTTACATCTTCCTTCATCCTCCTGACATCTTTGACTCCTCGTGCAGCGCTCTAGCTCTTCAGATTTTTTGAATTCACTTTTCCGCTTGCACTCGTTGCTTTTCATCTTTCATTCTTTTGTTCATTTTAAATTCAATACAAGTGATGAAAAGTGAACACTCTAACTCGTTCATCATTTCGCTCTCCCACATTCTAAATCTCCCGCTCACGCATTTTTACTTTCTCGCTCCCCTTGCGGGCAGCGGAGGTATATTGCTTTATTCTTTCATTCATTTTTTAAATTAGACTCTTTATTATACTTAAAGTTGGGTAGTAGATGACCAATCGGTAGATGACGTCATTTAAAATAATTTTTATGAGCAATATTCTTTAATACTGATGAAGAAGCCTGGATTTTTTTTAGCCTCGCTAAGATAGAATTAAGTGAGAGGTGAGAGCAATTGAAATAATAATCAATTCATTTTTTTTTCAGTATTGTGTGACTTCAATTGACTTCGACCTGATTTGAGATGATATGGAAAAAGTAGAGTATCTATACCTGTCGTGTTCACATGAGGTAATGCTGAAATGGACAAAATTTTGTTGTCAGGTTTCAAAACTGCTTTCAGCTCCCGAACCAAAGCGCTGAAGCCTTCCCGGTAAACGGACTGCTCCTCGCGGAATTTCTCTTTCACCAAACCAAACAAACCCTTTACGCTGCTGATGAATCCGGATTCTGGAAGAAAAAAAATTAACCTTTCTCACTGACACGATGCTGAATTTTTCCGGGCAATTGACGACAAAATAATCACCGAAAAATGTTTTCTTGAGATACCTATTATTTGTTGTTTTGGTATCTTTTTTTTATACTCAAATTTAACGACAAAAAACGACTCTTTTTAACTAAAAAAACCAAATTTTGTCGACAAGAAACGACGCTTTACGTCAAAATAATATCTCAAGTAAAATGCTTTTCAGTGTAGAATAACGTGTGAATATGCAAACGTCATCTTTCCTTGAGTTCATCAAATCAGCAGATATCAATCATTTGGTGACCCTGCTGTTTTTAATTTTTTTATTATTTATCCCAAAAAGAGACATCTGAAGGGTCAGAGCGTTTACTGGGGGCTCAGCCTCATACTGTGGCCAGGGGATATCGAGGTACTTCCCAAGGATCATTGAAAAGGTACGAATGCCTGATTTCAGAGTACACGTTATCCGCAAAATGGTACGTGAGCTGCTACGCTTACACTTACTAAAATATCCTTTAAACATACTTAAAATGAAATGATGAGTTATACTTGAAAGTATGACTGAACAGAAAGAGGGAAACATTACAAAATTTGCAACCCGCCAATATTCATGCCTTCTTTGTATTGGTGGATCCAGCAAATTGGCAATATTGTTTTTTCTCCATTTGAACCTGTGGAAATGTATCGATTCGTGGAGGGGCCAGGTGCTCCTACAAAATCGATTATTTAGCACAGATTTAAATGGAGGAAATCCGGGTTTGCCAAATTGCTTGATCCGCCTCTGACCTTTGTATGCGTATGGTCTAGCGTGCTTATTCATTGCACAGCAACGCGTCACTAAAATACTCGTATACCTAATTAGAATAATCTCACTGCTCACCCATGATTGGCTTGTCTTCTTCCCTGAAGGATTCTGGCCACTGCCAACCCAAATCCACTCCATCGTAGTTGTAATCCATAATTGTTTTATGGACGGAGTTTATGAAAGTTGTACGTTTTTCCGGGGTCTCAACCTATAAAATTAAACAGAGCTATTAAATATTGAATTAATTTAATCAAAAGTGTAGCAAACTTATTTTTTAACGCAGAGCTGTAAGGTACGTTTACGCGGACTCGCGACGTTGTGTGTTACAGAAAAATACGCAAAAAATTGGATGCCTCTGGGCAAAATGCCAAAATGAACCGAATTATATACGAACAGTAAACTCTCATAGGTGGAATTAGGGACTTGGCCCTTTTCCTACCTGCTCTCTCAAAGTTGCTATTAGCTCTTGAACATCTCAATTTTCAAAATTTTCCTAGGGAGCCCCTCCAGCAGGGAGTGAGCTAAAAGGCACCCCTTCGTGCCCCCCTCCCGCGAGAATCCCTAGTTTTACTCCTACACTTTGCCTACTTCCCTCGCTCGTTTCGCTTTTCAAACAAACACTCAAAGTAAAATGAAAACAAATTTTTAATCTAAAAGAAGGTAGATCCGCAAAAAGTTCCAAAGCATTGTTTTTTCCCCAAACTTTTTGTGAAGAAAAGGAAACACGAGGGGAATTTAGGGAACAATAAATAAAGTTAAGTTGATTCTCCTCTTTGCCTTAGGATTGACAGATGACTTTAAGATCGGGCAAGTGAATTTGCTCGTCGCATACAGTTTTTTTTTTTTTATTATTAAAGTCTTTTATTTGTCCTCTCAATATACAATTAATTACATGAATCTTACAACCAATAATTATAAGAACTTATAATCCTACAACTAATAATTATAAGAGCATATAATTAAACTTATACGGCTTATTAATTATTCCTCTACTCTCATGGTGGCTATGAGAGTGGTCTTCATTTCTTCATGACAAAAATTTAGGGGCGACACCCGTTCAGTTTATCTCTTGTTTTACGCGTTCTGATAAAAGAATTACAGAATTATCTAATAGTGTGATTGCGAGAGTCAATATTCCAATTTCCTACGAAAAGAGATTGTATGAAAAGATCTTGTCTTCTAAAGAGTATTTAGTACTTAAATGAAATGTAGTAAAATGTCTCAAAAAGAACCTACGTTGGTTAACCAATGCCAACTTTTACAGGAAAAGGATGAGTTCTACATGATACTTGCTACTGCAATCAGGGACTGATTAACCCAAAACTTTATAAAACCCAAAACTTTATAAACGTTGAATACAGTTAGGTCTCAGCATTTATAATAGGCATTTAATAATGCATAAAGTTTCACCAATGTCCCTGAACGACCAATTTGCAGTGGCGTGACGTGCTCTGCAATACATACATAGATCGATATGCCATTTAAACCTATGGAAAAGGATCGATAAACAGGTGTTCGTAATGGACATCCTAACAATCGATTCTTTACCATAGCTTTAAACGGGGAGATATCGATATCGATCATTCATGCCTCATCTGCCGATCTGCTTGATCTAAGAATGTTGACCCAAATCATACTCAAAGGGTCATCTGTTGGGTTTCAGTAGGTTTATCGGTGAATGTAAAATTGGGGTCATTGGCGAGACAAATCGATAATACTATCGGATGTTATTCCGCTCTTGTTCCTATAAACGGATCGATTATTTAAGCACACGTACAAAATTTTAAAAGTGATATTGGATATTCGGATTTACATTAAAATTATTGGTGATTGTTATAAAATTACATGAGTCCCAAAAATTCTTTCAGGGCGGTTACGATTTCTGAAATTCTACGCCGATGATTTTCTTTTTGCTAACTTGACATTTCTTTTTTACTCGCTATCCTATAGGGACTAGCACTTAAATCACGTTTCCTGGAGTTCTACTTTATTCTCACAAAATTTAATCCAAGTTTGTCAGAGATATCTAACTTATTTTTAACGAGAAACGACGTAATCGGCTCGAAGCGATGATACAAAAAAAGCTTCTCGTGTGCGGCCGCATTTGGTCCGATTGAGCTCAACAAGGGCTCGTTGGACTCAGAATATCCTCACGAAAATGTTAAGCTTTAGTTTGCCAAAATCATTTTTGTTCATTTTGTTCATTTGTTGGTTCATTTTTGTGGATTTGTGAAGGAGGGAAACTTATTCAGCGATTCCCGTACTTTACGACCATTCAATTCAAAATTATTCATTACAATACATCCACGATATGACAGTTAAATCTGAGAAAAATACGTATTGCTAATGGAAGGTTTAAAACTCTCCGATTAAGTTTTATTATTCTCTAGGAAAACTATATTCAAAATGTCGCTTTGCAATTGTGGGTAATTTTTTTAGAGTGAGCGAAGAAAATTCACAGAGTATTGTAATAAAAACTGTTCATCAGTTCAGGGCCGGATTAACCTACTTGCCGCCCATGGGCCGCCTGTATTTTGCCGCCCCTTCTCATTCGTTTTGAAACATCGATACAAACCATCAAGTGGACGTGTCAAGGAAGGATGGGTGCATAAGACGCGTTTACTCGCGTTAGGCACATTTTTTGTGTCATCACTAGCAAAAGTTCACGCAACTCTGCGCGAAAATCAAGTTCCGTAAACCTATCCCTGTGTGGATAAGGCCTTTCATTTATGAGAAAAGAACGAATAAATTATGAAAGAATAAACATGAATGTGGTTTAATGATTTTAATTAACGCCACCGCGCCAACCGCGCTGTGTTTGGCGCAATGCGTGAAGTATCCCTCCAGTCTTGTAGACGCTATGCGTTTCACACGCCGACCGCTGCTGGCCACTTTATTTTTGACGCAATGCATTCATGCAGTCTTGTAGGCACTATGAGTTTCACGTCAACCGCTGCTGAACGCACTACGTTTGACGCAATGCGTGAAGTATTCGTGGAGTCTTGTAGGCGCTAATATGTGTTCCATGCTGACCGGCGCGCCGAGGGCTTCTCCTTTCCATCCATCTCAAGTCCTCGTCATCATTGCTCTCTACGCCGCGCCGCTCCGGGCCAAATTGCGTGTTTGATATCTCTCTCAACTTCTGTTTCTTGTAAACCCGAATGACGAACAAATTGGAAATTACTAAACTTTAACTCTCAGGAAATGAGAGATTTTTTCGTATTTTCTCGTTTGTAAATTTTTTTCCTGAATCAGATTTTTTTCTTGATATCTACATTTGAAAAAATTGCAACATTTGCCGCCATGGGCCGCGGTCCATGTGGCCACCCTCTTAATCCGGCCCTGCATCAGTTCGACATAATGCTAAAACGCAGTATCTTGCACGCAAACCATGCACATAACGACGGTGTAAGTCCGCAACCACGTATTTCGGTTTGCGACGTCACAGAATTCCAGTCACACCGTATTTTTTAAACGGAAAACTACTTAACAGCAATTCTCTAAAACTGCCGTGATTTTTTTTTCTCTGTGCAGAGAAAATTCTGCAAAAACTTCAATAGATGATGTCAATTTTTTCTCCTTTAAAAAAATAATACAGAGGCGGAGATTTTCAAACCCCCCAAACGAGATAGGTGGTTGCGGACCTACGCCGTCGATAATGATCTGTTCAGCATTACAACGTTCAGCGGGTTGATTCGTTGATTATATTGAAATTGGTAGACAAAGCGATAGACAAAGAAGACATGGAGAGTATGGAGCAATCCTATTTGTTGAATGGGTGGTTCCGGTTCCCATAGACTAAGTATGGGGTCTTTCGTGGGTCGCCGTTAGTTAGTATATTACCTACTTCCATCGTCCATTGCAACGACCCACCTCCACCGATAGGATCTCTTCATATCCCTTTTGTCCTCTCTGTCTATAGCTTTTTCTATCAATTTCAATTTCAATGATGGGCCCGCTGTTCCCCCTCAGATAAATCAAACATCAGCGAAGTTTCATCTGAGAAACGCACTTTTCGACTGCACCCATCGATATGCCACCTCACCGCTGTTCGCCGTTGGCCCGATATTCCCGTTGTTCCCATCGCGGTGCGAGGAATGCGGATTTCCGAGACGATCTGTCAACCCTGTGCCGCACATCGGATCGAGCGAATAGGAGAAGTCGGACAAAATTTGGAAACTGTAAAAGCTCATAACTCCGTTCATACAAAACTTTGAGGTTTTAAAAGCGGTTCCAGTGGTTTCCTCGTGGAATTTTCTTTCAAGAGCACCCCTCAAAATGTAAAACGTGACGAAATAAACATCAAAATTTGAAGTTTTAGTCAATAATTTCATGTCCGACTTCTCTGATTGACTTGATCCACTGTGTGCCGGATGAGCTACAACTGTCATACATGATTCGCGCGACGCGACGGCCGGCGGCGTGCCCAGTGCCCGCAATGCGGCCGCGGGATGCGCCCCCCCGGA